CATTTTTGTTGGTGGCTGAAAACTGGCAAGAGGCCAAATTAAATTTATTTGTAAGTTTGTGCACCAGATTTCCAATTATAAGAACAATATATATCTTACTGGGGAACAGAAGTATCATATGACCTGCAAAATCCATCAAAACAACTCAATTTCTGACTATTAACTGTAATAAACTGCTTATGAATAAAGCATACATAAAAATTCCTCACAGAAATTTGGTAAGTAATCATCAATAGTAAAGAAGATGAAAATAATTCATTGCCTACAGAAAACTATAAAAAAAAAAACCAAAACAGCGCTCTAATCCACTGAACAAATCATACATTGGTAACAACTTTGATAGTTTGGGCAGAAACAGGTCAAACCAGAGAAGTTCACCTCTGAAAGACTAGAAAGAGGAAAGGCTTTCATCTTGGCATATTGCCACACTTCCAGGGTGAATCACTGGTTCATCACTCTAATTCAGCCCCTGCTAGCCAGGTTAAAGGGGATGCATATCAGGTCTTCCAGTCTGACTAACTCTCACCACTTTTGTTCAACATTTTGAACAACTGTCAAGAAAGCCTTATGAACAGTGTGGCCACACTGCTTGGTGCTGATCTCTCTGCTTCCAGTGTCTCTGCAAAGGGATGGCTTTTCCCTCTAATCAAGTCTGATAAGAAAATTTGGGGTATTCAATTACTCTGACTTATAAGCATTAAACTGGACAGAAAACCAAAAAAAAAGATCTTTTTTCTCAGCTCTCCTAAAGGCTTTCTTCAAAGAGGGATCCATATCACTAGTAAAATCTCCTTCAAAGGGCACTGTCAAGATATCTGCAATAATTTTAAAACTCATTTGTTACTCCTTGTTGTTTATAATCCCTTCGAAGCAAGCAGAGAAAATCTATTTCCGTTTGTACTACGTCTCCTCCACCAGGCACAATGTGCCAAGGAAAATGCTTTTCCAACATAGAATGTACTCGCAAAGCACGAAGCTGAATTTTTTAGAGTCGCTATATTACCAAGACACATAGTTTGGAACTCAGCTGTATACCATGGCACAACTTGTAGGATGATAGACGCAGTAATGACTGGAACAGCACAGCGCAATACCCTATAGAAGGGCCTTAATTAGTAGGCTACGTAACAAGAAATCTGGAAGAATAGTGAAAGAGCATAAGATGACAGAACATGGTAACAACAAAGAGTTATGCAAGTTTAAAGATTAATCACACAAGAAACTTGGGAAAATATCAATATGTCTTACTGGAGACTTGATTCTTTTGGGGTCTCGATTGTGCCTGACTGTACCTGTACTCAGCAGAACTTCTTACAGTACAGCCTTGCATTCAGTCCTTTAAAAATGGAAGATAAGAATGGGCTCTACATCCCACAAAATGGAGGCAGCAATAAAAATCACATGGCAAGCTGGAAGGGATAAAAGCTCCAACAAGGGAACAATGCCAACAGCCTTCACATGAGCAATGATAGACAGGTCTGGGGTTTTTTTTTCAATTATTTTCTGTGTTGACCACAGGGTTGTAAACTGGCAGAAGCAGGAGGGAAGAGTTCCTTGCAGAAATGGGCTGCTTTGCTTTTAGCAACTTTCACATGGAGACACTGCTTCTCTAAAACCAAATTGGGCAATCCAGACAAAATGAAAAAGAGTTTGGATATTTTTTTCCCCTTCTTTCTTCTTCCTTAGGTTGAACAAAACCTTAGATAAGATCAATAGTTTCTTTAGTTTTACGTTTCACTTCATTAAGGGTAGTTGGCTTATTGCGTTTCCATTGATCACACAGACAGGGAGATTCGACAGAGACAAACCATCTCTTCTTTCATTTCCGTCCTCCTTCCCATTTGAAATCAAATGACTTTTAAATGAGGTTGGGGGTCACTATTCCTTCTCATTTACATATCAATAGTACCAAATCCTGCCTTATCTTTTAGTCATTAAACTATTTTAAAAATGAAGGCTACATTTCAATCCAAGAGAGGACACACACATTCCTTGGAAAAAATCTCGATGCATCTTTTTTGGACTCTCTATCTTAAAAACTAGGTTCTGGTTTACCTTAGCCCTTCCTCAACATTGTGGCAAGAGGGGGTACACTTACCAGCTTGTTCAAGTAATATTTTAACCTCTTGCCAGCTCTATAAGGGTTTCTTGCTCTTCCTAAATCCTTTGCACAATCCCCATCAGACATCTGTGCAACTCCAAGCACTGTATCTGTGCTCATAGCCAGCAAAGCAGCTCTCTGAATTACTTTTATCACTTACAAGCAGAAGAAAGCTAAAGCCCAGGATTCACGTCTGCTGTGCTCTATTAGAAGTTTGACCACTGATTCACTGAATGATGGTGGATTTGGGAGTCTCTGCTGAATATAATGAGATGTTTTAAATCCTAGCAGCTGTTTGTATTGTACTTCAAGGTATAAAAGTATCAAAACATAAAGGCATGCTTGTCCAGGGGAGATTCTGGATATATCCCTACAGGGAGATCAATCCTGTGCAATTAAGAAGCTGATTCTATTCACAGTTAAACACAAATCTACTAATCCAAATATCAGAAAGCTCTAAATATAGGATGCTGACATCTCCTGCCTGAGCATTAGTCTCAGTCTATTGTTTACACACACATCAACTTGAGAGTCCAAGAATGAAGAACAGAAGTTGAAGTCTCTAGAAAAACATGACCTCTTATGTGATTAATTTCCAGTTTACAGGAATAATTTCAGGGCTTCCAGATACTAATGAAGTAGTTTTGGCTTGATAGATGGAAGCTGAGTATTAAATGGTATTATGCAACGAAATCTTCAGGTCAGCCTGTCAAGTCCATATCTAAAATAATTCACTTGTAAGAACAAGCAAACAAGCAAGCAAGAGTCAACTCTACAGACCACTAAAAGGAAGAGAAAACAGCCTATTAATATAAATCATTTGAAAGAGATAGTTTATGTAATTATATGCAGCTCCAGCGTAAATGTCAACATAAGAAATTATATTCCATTTTGACACTAACAAGTTCAGTACTTTGTGTACTTGGAAAAAGTGAGTGGAAATACTTTAAAGCTGCCTGAATCAGAGAAACTGCAAAAAGAGTTTGCATTATCCTTATGATGAAGAAACGATGAAGAAATGCCCCCTCATGGGAATATTTGTGTGTCCTCCATCTCTGAGATGAATGATAATCCTAAACCAAGGAGAAAAAAAAATTAAAATAGGTGACCTCATAAAAATAACCCAATGATCAAACAGGGAGTCAGCTTTTCAGGGTGATCAGAATGGAAATTTCAAAACTGCTTTACAGCTTACAGACTCTTTTATGGGCCATAAGAACACTGGATTCTGTCACCAGTCACAAGCCCTCGTATGTCAACTTGCTCTTGTCCTCGGTGGCTACCTGTGGTCCTGATCAGTGATGAAAAAGAGGACAAGAAAGAATGGAGAAAATAGTTTCATGTATTTTAAAGTATTTCTTTAAAAAGAATCCAGAACCATCTGCATTAGGTCTTTCTGCTTATTTTTGGTACCTCTGCTATATAATACAGGGCCCCTGTGGGTGGCACAGTGCTTAAATGCAACATCTGAATGTGACATTTAATGTTCTCTTCCTACTACGTCAAGCATCTAATGGCACAAATTAAGCAAATTTAGGTTAAAGACATCACAGATGCTGAAGGAGAACAAATCAGTAGATATCGATACAATCTGATGCGTTACTTTTTTAGGTCTTACTGTAGTTATCTAGGAAATCAGTGAAATCCTCCTCTGTGGAGATCACTAGGAGTTTTGTTATTCACTTCAGTAGAGGTAGATTTTCCCCCACTGTCTAAAAAAGATTCAAAACCACTGTCTTGACCTGTGGTGCCTATTAAAAAGCCATTAGCACTTCTCAGGAGTAGGGAGTGTTAGATGTAATGCCCAGGGCAATCATATTCTCTTCCTTTAAACTGTCTGCCGTTTTTTCCTTCTGCCTTTCCTGTCTTGGAATTGATGTGTGTATAGTAGAGCATGGTTAAAACAGTAGCTGAGTACTTCCTGGCTACATTCTAGAGAGAAGTAAAAAGATTAGTATAGAGCTTCCAAAGATAATAATTTGAATGTCTTATTAATTGTTATTTGTAATAATGGCTCTTTCCTTAAGGGTCTTTCAGGATCCTTAACTGCTTTTTAATGCTGTATAGATAAGCATTGCTCCCTAGTGGGAGAAATGAGGTAGAATATAGAAGCCTTTCAATGAAAGCAACAGGTTTGGGAACGGAACAAGAGAAAGAATTCGCTATTTGACCGAATGGAGAATTATAATCACTCAAATGCAATTAACAGATTTCACCCTGTGTACTTAAGAAGTGCCAGATCTCACAGACTGTCATCTCTGCTGCATTTGGTATGAGTACAACCCTTCCTACCAAGACTGGAACTTCCTTTGATGTGGAATTCAGGTCTGGTTAGATCACAGTTTCAGGCGTACCTTGAGCTCACGACAGCTGTCAAAACTAGCCTTTGGCTGTCAGTAACAGGCAAGTCCAAATGCAGGATTCTGAGTGCAGGCTCTTAAATTTAGCCAGGTGAATGCTAGCCTATACCAAAGAGCTTGGTGTCAGTAGTATTCAAGCTAATTACCTTATAGCTAGACTCAAAGATGTCCATATGACCTGCCAACACATTTTTTACGACACTGTGAATGCCCTTTTCAGGGTAAGTGCTCTGTATCATCTCAAAACCAGTACTTCCTTCAGCTCAGTGCTTTTGACTCCAGACTGGAGTTTCTTTTATTTCACTGTTGAATGAAACCTCAGAGCATGGACTATTTTCCTGTCACGGAAGGTAAAAGAGTGAGGGATCATGGAAAGATTTCACTGTGGAGAAACTCAGAAGCATGGCTACATGAGTCTGGAGAGAGCAGACAATGCTAAGCATCAAGACAATAGCTATCTCCTCTGGTTTACCCTTCCACGTTCATGAGATGTGCATTAGTTGGAGGGTGGTACAGTGTTCTTTGAGAGATTTGCTCACTTTGTAGAGGCCATGGCTACAGCCGCAGTACGTGCTCTCCATGGTGTAGCTCCTCAACACACCCATTTCCTTCCATACCACCACCCGGGCCGTCGACTCCCGGGACTTCTCCACCAGGAAGCTGCAGCTGTTCATGACAAATGCAGGGGCCACTTTATCCAGGATTTTAGGAAGAGTCTATGAGAAAATATCATCAGTGATGAGAAAATGAATTGAACAGATGCACATATGTTTATATCATGTACACATATACAGAGAGACCTGTGCTTTTTAATGCATATATAATCAAATCTATCTGTAGACACTGTTACTGAGATCTCCAACCAGTGCATGATGTCCATCCCATGTGAAATCCTCAGATTCTAACATTTGTTTCACCTCAAAGACTAAAATGCTAAATATCTAGTACACTTGGTATATCTCATTCAAAACCAAACGTTTTCACACTCAATAGTTAGGGACTGCTGCAGTCACTTTCAGAGTTTTGTTTTCAAGCTGCTTCAACATTGACCTACACCTTCCCGTTGTACCAAGAGGGGGGAAGTCATAGTTCAGTACCCGATATTCCCATTCTCCCCTCTCCAGCTACACTATATCTTATCCCACCATGCATCCACAATTTGACAAGGGATTCAGCTCAGGGAGGAGTTTTGTCTGACTCTAGCTCAGAGCAGAGAAAGGGGATATGTATTCTCATAGAAGGTCACACAATTATGTGAAAACAGAGCTTAATGCTTAACTAACTTGCATCATGACACAAACCCAAATATTATCATTGGAGACCAAATGATATATTTTATACACTCCATTTACAGAATCACAATTAAAAGTAATCATGAAAACCCAGTAATAAACACATATTAGCCCTGAGTGATCATCTTATTCTAGAAATCATATTCCCCAACAACAAAGTCTATAAACAGTCCTAATACACTGTGGTATCAAATATTTCCATTAGTGTGAAGGCAACACTCACACTGTGTTAAATGTGTTGCTTTTACACTCTATAAAAACATATATTAGATACATTAATACTAGGGGTGCTCTGTGTAGAAACTGGACACGTGTGTGCATGTCTAAATTTTGGTGCTGGTCTATTAACCACAACATAGGCCAAAAGCCCCTTTGATCCGTCTAGAGGAGAGTAAGGAAAATGGGGACTTTCATTATTTCTTTGATGACAGCCTTCTTAAACATTTGAATTGAATGAGATCATATAGGAGTTCCCACTTATTGTTAATGTCATTTACCCTTGCATTCCATTCAGCGTGGGCAGTGAAAGCCAACCAGCTAATTTTACTTTCCAATAACAATGTTTCACTGACTGATTCTGAGCAGGGGTAGATCCATGCGGTTGAGATTCACTCACTGTACAGGAATACTTGGTTTCATTGAAAGAATAATGTCTTTTCTTAAATCACGTTTGATGTGAATGATAAATCTTTGGTCTAGACTATTTTGCAATATCTTCTGCAAATGGCTTAACTGTACACATCTCCATAACAAAAAAGTAAATTTAATTTTTCAGGATATTTTGGCCACAGCTGTCAATGGACTTTAGCAGTTCTATAAAGATCTATAAGGTCCATTTTTCAGATTAAAAAACTGAGGTAGAGAAAACAGCAATAAAGGAAGAGATTGCGTTTTAAATCAGAGACCACTGCAAGCTTCACTCTTAAGTCAAGATCTCCAGTGTGCTACCAAGAGCTACAGCACTCCCTTTCCTGTGGGCATGCTGAACAGAGGAGTCTTTAAAATTGACTGTTTGCCTTAGATGAAGCAGCCAACATTTCTGGATTGCCTTCAGTGTGCTACTTGCTGCATGGAGATCAAAAATGTAATGCTTTTATGCAGTGCTTCCAGGTTTTCCTGGATTTGAGTTGAACAGGAATTTAAAAAAATGCAGCAGAGCCATATCACCTAGATATTCATAAGCCTCAGCACAGTCATGACATCCACTTAAACACTATGTGAAAGTTCAGATTAGTTTTCCTTTTGCCCTTATCTGAACAAATACACAGATTTTTATAAATGTGTACTATAAAACACAATAATCAAATCCCTAATCCATTTCAGATTTTTAAAACAATTGAAATTATAAGCATAATCAATCTTTTACATTTAATTAAATAAAAACGCTGACAGGTAACAGTAATGCCTCTGTACGCAGGAGTCATTTAGGAGCATTAGCAAATCTGAATTTAATATTCTTTTCATTTTACCAGCGTTCGCTGGATTTCATACTAATGGTTCTTTCTATTCTACTTATTCTCCTCATTAATTATCTTTCAAGTGTATGTTTTGAAAGAGTGAAAACACACCCTTTTAAAGGATGCTTTTATGATAATGCAGCAGTGTGACTGTGTTCCTTTTCTCACGCACAGCTGGATTTAGCATGTACAACAGCAAAGGAAGGTACTCCCCTCACACAGGACCCTGTCCATAAACCTCCAGTCCCATTAGGAAAGAATGGAATTATATTTCTTTACTGACGTCCCTGCAGAGATTACTGACAAAGGGGCCTGGGACGGCTATCAAAAGGACAAATCTTCAAGCTGGGCTTTGCAATGCCAGTGCTGCGCAAGTCACCCAAGGCAAACAAATATTAGATGGTAATGAAGATTCTTACTCCTGTATATTGCCAAGGGCTACAGCTGAGTCTATGACCTATGAGTCAAAGGCTGTTCCAAAACCCAACATTTCCTTGAGGCATTTGGTTCCTGCTCCTGGGGAGAAAAAAAATCAATCACAGAGGCCAGATTAATCCCCAGTTAACTACAGGAGGCAGGAGAGAAACCTGTGCAAACAGTGCAAGAAAGCAGGTCTGAGATAGGAGTGATATCTGCTGCAGTCTGCAATTGCCGATTGTGTTCTATATACCCAGTTTCCCCAGCCTAAGAAGGAGGAGGATGACCCATAGGCAGGAACTGCAGCAGGCACCCATCTCCCGTTTTGTGCAGAAGAGGGATTTGAACCACAGAAGCCTTTCTCATAGGCCACCTCAGAGTATTCTTGGACAGCCTTAGAGCCTGTCTTCATTGCAGATTCAAAACAGGCTCCAGATGCTGACAGCAGCATTTGAATCCTGTTTGTGTAACAGCGTCCCATCCTCAGCCTTTTCAAGCCCTCTGAATTCAAACACAGCGAAAGATGTCCTGACTCTAAGTCCCCTCTCAGCTTTCTATGTGAAACTGTGTTTGCTACAGGGACCCCTCACAATGAACATTGGAGGACTTTCTTCCAGCAGTTTCAGTATGCTGTGTACAATGCCTTAAGATGCAGCATCCTTATGGGAGGATAATTAGTATCTGTGCTGAAGTAGCAAAAATTATAGAGACATAAACAGACTTTTGAACTTCCTTCAGGTTGGAGTGAACCAAGCTATACCTCTGTAATCTGCTTAAGGCCACAATGAATGCTTCATGAAATTAGCATTTTTGGAGACTATAATTAGACTTCATAATTTTTCTTTTCTTCCCCCCCCCCCTCCACAAAAAAAAAAAAAAAAAAAAAAAAAAAAAAAAGAGATGAGCAGGAAATCCAAACAGTTTGATGAACAAGACACTCACATGAAGTAGAAACAAACCAGATTTTAGTATTTGTTCTTTCTAATTCCAGAAAAATTTCTCTAGCTACGACACCAAGCACTTGCTGTGGAGGTAATTCCACTACGTTAGATCTGTTTGACACACACTGAATTCTCTAGTGTTTTCAGTGGGACAGGGAGATTTCGTGATGAAGCAATTCAACTGAGTAGGACAGGGGCACATTGCCATTTTCTCAGTTATCATTACTCACTTCCTATTTATTTTCTTACTATGGTGGGGTGAGGGGACAAAATTGCATGTATATTTAGAAATAGTAAATCACAAAAAAATATAGCTGTCCTATTAGACTGTAGCCAAAGATTATAATACAGCATCTTGCTAAAACTAAAAAAAAATAAGGACCCATCTACAATATTTTTTATAATATCTGGTGCATGAAGATGTTGTGAATGATTTGAAACTCTCTGGACCATTACTCCTCTGGAGTAATGGAAGCTTGCACCTATCTCCAAAACTTGCAAGTTTTCCTTTTCTTAACTAGCTGCATAAGTGCACATACATGCCAGTAACTGCAGAAGGGAACAAAGTAGACCTACCCTGTAGCCAACATCTTCTGTGATAACGTTTGTGTCAACCATGCAGCCTGCTTGCCACAAGGTCTCCTTGATGCTGCAGCCATAAACAAACACATTCTTTTTCTGGGAGTGTCCATGGTAGTCACAGAATACCTAGTGAGAGGGGAAAAAAATAATTTAAATAAGGCAAAATCTTGAGTGTTGAAAAAGAAAAAAAATTTCCTGGTTCTTCATGATAAGCACTATAAGACTATAGGGGGGTATTAATGTTTTTTTTCAGATTTCTTCAGAGTAGTGTAGACTCGGGGCCATGCCGATAACCTGTGTCAAACTTTGTTAGTCAGTTGTATCTTGCTTTATTTATTTGATCTGACATGATCTCAGGGATCCAGAGTCAAGACTAGTGCATTTCTGTCTGCAGCAGAAATAAACATGACACCTGTGCAAGAATCCATGGCAACTCAGGAACCTAAGGGTTCATGGTAACGTGTGATACGACAACAGATCAATTTGTCAGGCTCTTTGTGCTTCTAAACTTCAGCTTTATCCTCATGAGATTTGAAATCCATGCTTTCCCAAGCAATTAATCATCACTTTGTCATCTTTAAATTCAAAACCTGTGCCACATAATTTTCAGGAAATTATAATTGTGCAATTGTATTGCACAATGCTGTCAGATCTTTGCATGAATTCCTGGAAGCCAAGCACAGAACATGACCTATCCTCATGGCAAATAATCTCATTTCACACTAATCTATCTGTTTATCTAATCCATCTCTCATGTCAGCTGTCATAAACTAGGCACAAGGCATATTCCCAGTTTTAGCAGAAGTTTTGATTATCTTTATAGGCAGATATCGACTCCTATAGAAATGAAAATCACGATTTAATGACCCAAGAGGTAAATATTGACCCAAGTCTTAAAGAATAATCAATCTCGGTGCCCTCTGAGATATGAAGTCGATATACACACTGCTGTTACATATATTCTCCATGTCTTTATCAGGAATATTCAGAAATCTGTCAATGAAAAAATGAGAATTTCTAAAGAGAAGGAATTGGTTCATTGAAACCATTATTCACCATTGAGTAGAAAGGAGCTTCAAGATTTCATGGAAACAGTTTTCCACGGCTTACGTCAGAGACAAAAGCATCGGTGTAGGAAGGTAGGGAAGAATTATGGATCAATATAGAGAGATGAAGGAGAAATATGGGGTAAAAAGCATATCTGTATTCTTACATATACAAGAGGGGAGAAACAGATGGAGTAGATGAGCTTCTTCCACTAACTGTTAGGGCAAGATCTACCCTAGTATGTTTATTTACCAGCTATACAGTAATTAAGGTTAGCTGCAGCAAGTCAGGAAGTTTAATTAGCTAGGAATTGAGCATGTACATTCTTTCAGCTCCTCTGACAAACAGTAGGTTGACATACTGGAGCGGCAAAGGCACACATCCATAAAGAACCATTCCACTGCTCCTAATTAGGTGGGCAATTATACGTATCTCATCGCTTATACACTGCTCCTTCTTCTGGTTTCTGACCTGTCAATTTTCCTTACTGCACTATCATTCACCTCCAGCTCTCTGCAGGGCTCTGGGGCTGCACATCCCCATCTTTGCAGCACTTGCCACACCTGAAGCATGTGAACAGTGGCCTACCCAGCAACAACTGCTCCTGCTTATACCCCTGCACCCAGCAAAAGCAAAAAGGGGAGGACAAACAAGGCCATCTGGGAGCTGCTTATTGGTGCAAACCTACAACCTGCAACATTTCCAAAAGAAAAAGCCAACATTACACAGCCCTCCCCAGCTGTGTGCATATTTTGCAGGGTTTAAACACCCCCTGCACTGGAAGTAACTGTCTGAACCACGTGCAATTATCCTGTAATGTCTCCTTCCAAAGAGTTGCATTTATTGGTTCTCTTAATGACAGACATTTTTCCAACTAATGTCTCATCTAAGCTATCAGCAATATTCAGTCATAGCTTAGGTTAACCACAGGTACCACCTAGAATTTATACCTATGAATATCAAAGAGGATTTTATAGCTCTCCTCTTATTTCAAGGCAGAGAACTCAGCTCAATTGGGTATCAATTACCTGCCAATTTGCAGAATTACCAACACACAAAAGACACAATATATTATCTGCCTAAAATACTATTTTACGTATTAGAAACCACACAGGGATGATCAGATAGTCAGAGAGTGGGGCTGACTGATCAGTAGCAGTCTATAATTCTGCACCTCAAGAAACTGGCAGATGAGTCCTTAATGACAGATCTGGAATGAGACTTCTTTATTGGTAAAGGATTATCAAAAGTTCTGTAATACAACTGCTGTTTCGGGCCATGGGATCTGAAACTGTTTCACTGATTGTCTCCAGCTTCCACAGTGGAAGCATCAGTGCTACTGGAAATACTTCCATTCCGCTTGCAAGTTGCATGGAGCTACATTTTAATTAAGTTTCTGGATACTGTAGTCACTCAGAATGTTTATACTCAATTATTCTTTATAATACATTCTTCTGCCTCATTTTCACACTACAGGGTAGCTTATGTCTCACTGTTCAGCCAAGGCTAAGCTATATTTTGTAGTCTGAGCACCCAATACAAAATCCTTGCTGGGATATGTTTAGGCAAACATTAAGCAAACTTGGAACCTACCAGTCCTTTTTCTCCAGCCTGTCCTTCCATATGGCTGGGACACTAACACACACAAGCTAGTCAAACTCCCGAGTCTTGTGCTCACTGGGATATGACTCAAGACACAGATGCAAATTTTTATCTTTTTAAAGTTATTTGCCAGCACTGATCATCCTAAAGGTAAGGCTTTCTAACTAAAAAACAACCCTACTCATGAGTCACAGAAACAGGCACCTTTTAAAATAAAGGAAAAGCAAAACAGAAAATGGAAAGAAAGAAAATCTGTTGAAAAAGAGAACATTCTGATTTTTTTTTCCTCCTGTAAAGTCTCATTTTTTTCCTTAATAGCATTGTGACAGGACTTTGAATCTCAGAGTTTTGAAGTAGACATGCCTAAGGTTTTTTCCTCACAATGAGTTACACCCTTGCGGGCAGATGCTTGTTTCCAAGCTTCATACAATGCCTTTGAATGGTGGCAAACTGCTCAGTGCGCCTCCTGGTCCCTAGGAAGCACTTTCTGACCCCCCCAAGAGCATCTTGCTCTTCTCTGCAGCTCAGACTCTCTTGAACAAGTTGCAGGTTCCCTGTTACATGCTTCAACAGCATTGTCAACTATAATTTCTAAACCATACCAACTTCTCACCACAAAAGCTAAAGGAGAGCGCAACTTCCCTCTTGCCATCAGACCTGGCTGCTCCCACACAAAAGGCCTCCAAGACTCCCAATTTGCTGTTCTCGGTTGAATGGAGATCCTATGCTGCAGAGGGCCGCAGTGCCACAGTGCATCCAGTCCCTTGTCTTACTAGGGTTCCCAGAACCAATGAGAGAAGCATTTAGCAGACTGTTGTCTATAAAACTTGCCAATTAAAATGGCTTTGGTTTGAAAGGCTGTTAACTTTAAAGTTCTTTCCTTTTCTCCTTCAAGCAGCTTTTCTTTGCTTTGAAGAAGAAACTGCTTGTGCATCCCCCCAGGATAAATGAAACTAAACCACTTCTCAGAAATCATTTGGCTATCAGTGAACTTGGCTCCATGGGATATTGGAGGTAAAAAAAATTAAGGAAAAAAAAAAAAAGGAAAAAAAAAAAGAAGAAACCCAGCTCTCTTCTGGAGGAGGGAAAAGGCATTTTTGAGCATGTATAAACTAAAATCAATGTACTCTTCAAAGGCAAAAAAAAAAAAAAAAATCAGTTTACGAAGTCAGACATGCAGCCTGTGAATGAGGGAGATGATAGGATCAATAGTCTCCCTTCACTCAGCCACGATGAAAACTTGCACTGAGTGTTCAACTTTATGCACTTGGATATGACAAGGATGGTTGTGTATTATAAAAAGCCAGATGGCAAAGAGCAGGGTAAAACAAGACTGATCCTACACTGCTCTGAATCAAAGGAAAAAGTTGGTGAATAAATTCACAACTGTGAGCTGAATTTCCACAATATTCTTCGTCTTGCAGAATTGAATTTCAGGGCTGTTGACTTAGCCAAAAACCACAATTGCACAAGAATTCACTTAAAGTAGCCCACAGACATTTTCACCTTGTCTGGGGCTTTTCTCATCAAACCCAGAGTGAATTGGTGTCTTTGGAAATTTCCTTCCTGACTGTAGCTGTTATCAGCCAGCCTGCCACTCTGCATCCACATCTGTTCATTAACACTTGAACATTCCTGTGGTTTTTCTCCTGAGGTCTCAGAACTATCTTTTCGTTCTTCTGGGCAACAAGACTGAGCAGGTAGGATGGATACCAGCCCTATCCCAGTTGAAGCTTTGAGATTAGAGCCATTTCTCATGAATTTCTGGTAACCCCCCAAACCAGCCATTTTCTTCTCATTACTAAAGCAACATGAAAATTCAGACATTTTGAGGGCTGCTTCCTGTGGTTTTGTGATTGCATTGGTTATTCCAACATGAGCTTTTACATAGTCCATTCAAACTAAATCTTTATGGATTTTCTCCTATCATTGACATGAAGATAGCAATAACCTACTCATAATATTTAGCCTAGTTGGAGCACTTTGAGGATATTAAAGAGCTTTAAGGAATTCTCTTTCTCATTTACATTCCAGGTATGCAGAGATGCTGAAATTTGGAGTTGTTGGTTAGAAGATTCAGCAAATAATGAATATCCAAGGCTTCCCAAACAGTTCTGTAAGACGAAAGTGTAACAGCACATGCTGCTTTCTAAATCATTCTTTAAAACAAGACTGTTCACACAACTACAAGTAAGCAATTCATATACAGTAACTCACAGAAGATTCTGGAATAGACTCACCAGAGGAGCCCGGCCAATGCTGCGCAGGTAATAGAGAAGACCTTTGGCATGGTAAATAGTTGGATGGAGCTGGGAAGTGGGTGTCAACCACTGTCTGTTCAGATCATCCCCACTCAGTGAACAGCGGTGGCTGAAATCAGAAAGCACCAGATCACAAACTAGCAAAACAACAGTTGATTCCAAAAAGTTTCTGGTCCTGGCACAAGGGCAGGGAATGTCAGTTAGAACACAGATATAAAGGTTTTCAAAATTGGGCTGGAATAAACTAGTGGTCCATATTATATTGCAAAGGTGCTCACAGTATATGAATTTTATCATTTCATTTCATTCCAAGGTTCACATAGTTGCCGTCCTGAGAATAAATGCAGTTTCTCCTTTACTTAAGTATGTACAAATCAAAAGACTACTTACAAACAAAGTCTTCTATAAGATGTTCTAAATTCTGTGTTATCTATGAAATTCATCCAGCTTACACAGAGCACAGGCTTCTCAAAAACTCCACAGCAAACAAGTACATCTAACTCCTACTCATTCTAATTGAAGACAGGCACTTGAATCTCTTCGACCAGTCTGAAATATGAATGCACTTAAATGAGATGAGCTGGATATCTCATTTAAGCTTCTCCACTCACAAGAAATGCCACTATCTAAAGCACATCAAGAAGATCTTGATGCATGCTACATCATTATGTAGAACAATTACCTAGCTTCACTGCAAAGGCTGAATAAAAAGCTAAATAAGGATCCCAGATTAGCACTGAGAAAATGTTTCCCTTAGTTGGCTTGAACATATTCTATTACTGACTCAGTGATCAGCGGAAGGTTTTGCAGGATATTTGACCGCATGGAGCAGTACACATCACTGTACAATTTTGCAAAATCTAACTACTCTCCCTTGTTAGTGACTGTGTGTAGATCAGAGCCTCCTCACACTCCTCAAAGGATTTGCTGTAATTTGGTTCACAATTTTCAAATCACAGTGTGCTGATAAAATTCAGGAATCAACCCTCCAGCATATGATGTACTGTGGAAGGTCCTTATCATACTATCCAGTTCAGAACTAGAATGCTTCTGGTGGCATTGTAAACTTGGGCTGGCTTGTGCTTCAAGAAAAAAACAAACAAACAAACAAAAAACAACAACAAAAAACCCCCAACTTAAGTGTTGTATGAATTTCTAGCTAAGGAGTTGCATCTAGATTTGCTATTTCAGCCTCCTACAACAAAATAAAATACATATGTATTCATGGGGTTATGGTCTGTTCTTGTATTGGCAGAGCCTTGCACTGCAGCAAGGGCAAGTTGCATGTAGCATCTTCAGCATTAACAATAACTTGCAAATGATGCTTGAAGAAAAAGGGTTGTAAAGCAGGAATCCTTTTTTTTAAAAAAAAAAAAAAGTATAAACAATGGAGAACTGGTTAAGAACAGAAGACAAAGAAATAATGAGTCACTAAGATTATTCATACATTTTTAATGTAGAAAAGCAAGATCTCTAATGCCATCTTGGGGTTTCTGGCAACATCACAAGATCCATTCCAGGTTTCTTCTAGTTTCACTGATCTCTGAATTCCCTTCTTTCCTTATAATCCATAGTTCCTGTGTTACTCATTTGGCAAATCAGAAAACATTAGCAGTAGCTCACACATGAGAAGTCAGAAAATGCTGCTGTGATGCTTCTGCCAAAAATTCTATATGTAAACATGACAACTTCTGTTACGTTTCTTAAAGGCTCTTCAGATAAAGTTACCTTTAGGCTCACCTTTCCTGATCTTCAGGACAACAGCTGCTCAACTGAGATTAGCAGCTCTATTTCTGCCAAGAACTTGTGTGCTTACGCAGTTTCCTTTCAATAGGTTCAACTTCATATAAAGTCATTGGGTGGCTTTCAGAAACTCACCTTTCCCCAATGTGACCCATAAAAAAATGACTCGAACACTTCCTTGACTTAAGAGTGTGATGTCTTCCTGCACCACAGTTATATCAGGGAGCACAACTAATTGTAAATATGAACAGAATTTCCATTCTGAGGGAGAGAATGATAGCGAGACTTTTATTCTCACACTTCAATTTAACATCAAGAAGAAAACAAACGAAAAATGTCTTGTTTTTTTCAGACCTACAGAAATATTTTTCAACACTTCCACTGGGCACAAAAACCTCTCTACTTCCCCCACTTTCCTGTTGGGATGGACACTATGTCTACTAAAACATCTATCTTAAAATGCCTTGGTACACAGTGGAAGAGTCAGACATAAAAAGCAAAACATGCAGGGAAGTAGAAATGAAACTGAAACCTAAAAACTGAAACGTACTTCTAAAAGGCTTCAGTAAATACAGAGATTAATATCAAACCAACACAAAGCTCAATTCTTATTTCACTATTTCTTAGACTAAATGCCTCCATAAAAAAAAATTCTTATTCCTTCAGAACGTATAAAGAAATGTCATGATCTGTTAGAAAAGCATGTAAGAAAAACTCCTTGTGAGGTCAATTAACACACACTAAAGCCAAGTAGACGGTGTGACAAGGCACTGGTGTTTCCTCCTGCAGAATCTGGTTCCACTGTGGCCAATGGACTGCAATGCATTACCCATACATGAGCACAGTTTCCACACAGCATGCTGACATCTCCATGGTTCACAGCACCCTTGCTCTTCAGACAGATTTCACTCAGTTCATAACACACTTTACCAACTCTGTTGCTCTGATACAAATTGTGACTTTTCTTAGAGGTCACCCTATGACAAGCCAGTCCCCTCCCCTGCAGCTCACAGATGCTGCTGGTTGCTTAATATTAGTTTAGTAAGTGTAATCCAACTCTAAAACAGTAATTTGAAAACTCTTATTTACTGCAGGGAAGGAAGGTAACATCTGTGCATACAGGCAAGAGCTGGAAGACAAAGTTCAGCTTTATCCCTTCAACGATTAACATCTCTGCTCATTTAAATGACCTTTAAATATTAGCCCTCAGCCTGGCAGCTTGCATCCACAGCTCTTAAGGAGATGCAGAAGTTTAATTAAATTATAAGTGGCTGATTTTCCCATCCCTCTCCCTTCTCCCATCATACTGTTCAAGTCTGTTTACTTTTGTAGATACCAGCTCCCTCCCAGCCTGTTCCCCCTTATTCCTTCCTTTCTTCTCTCTCTTTCCTAATAGCGATGACATTCACAGATAATGGTTTTGTCCGTTATGCTCTGCAGCCAAGGGTGAAGGTAAAATATTAAGCTGATTTCAAGTGCTGATAGCAAATAAAGGGACTGCGAAGCTGAGACTGGCTTTGAATGTTTGGCAGAATTTAATGAAATTCACTGCTCAAATCAAAGGCATTTCTTACAGCTCAGTCCTAAGCTATTATATTTGCTTTAAATGTTTTATGTGTCTTTTCTCCTTTACAGCATTAGCAAGACTACCTGCCACCTTGGATGGGACGAGTAGCAGCTCAAAGAAAATCATGAAAACATCTGCCAAAAAGAATGCCAATAAGAAAACCCCACCTCTGTGTTTCTATACAGATGACCTGTAATTTTGCTGTTTGTTATATATCTTCAACCCAGATGCATTACTCGGATATATTCAAACCAATTAAACTGCATTCCTTTTTTTCACAAGCCTGATGTTTTTGTTACAGCCCTGCCTCCTTTTCTACCTTTATACAGCCAGAACATTCTCTGATGTGTATCAGCCTATGGGGTAGCTATTAGTGGTCTCTGGGGCAGTGCATGGCTACCAAGTGGAACACAGAAAAAGGAGATTAAAAAAAAACATATTTGACTTTCTCCAATCAGGCCCTGCTAGTTTCTCTGCTAGGTTTCTATAGCGTGACTCAAGAGAAGCTATGGAGGTGGTGGAAGAAGAGATCCTCTGATCCTTACCAACTAAACTTTTCTAAATGGACTTGGCCACAAAACAGTCACAATGATACAGGGCAAGGTGTTCAGCACTTGCTACTGTCCAAGGAAAGAAACACACGGGCAGTCTGTCCTCTGGATGTACTCCAATAGTATTACATAGTAAGATGAATAAAACCGAAGCAAAGCAAAGCAAACTCATGTGACTGGTTCTAAGCAGAGTAAATTCATCCTTAGGTGAATTTGCTGGCAAGTGCTAGCTTCAGATATCATCAATATATGCCACCAAGAATATTCCTATTTCTATATTCCTATTTCTATATTCCTATATGCAATCTTCAGCTCTAAAGATGTATAAAAGCAGGTGGTCATGTAGAAGAACTACTCTATAAAAGCTGGATCCCTGGCATATGAAGTTGATATTGCAGGCAGAAAGGTTGGGTTGAGATTCCCCTTCTGAACCCATATTTGGTACATGAACTTCTAACTGAAGCATTAGACTCTTGCTCTGAAGGCAGGGACACCTCACAGGGAGTTAATGATAAAGAGGTTAAGTAGCTAAAGCACAGACTTGTTCAGTTTAAGACAGAATTGTATTTTTAATCTGTTTGCACTTTTAAGACCTTGCTTTTAATCTTGTACCTCAAAGGCTGATATGAAGTTTTACTAAAGATGTGTTTTCTCTGTTGTCTTATTCTTAAGCCTGTTTAGCTTCAAGAGTAAGGTAATCTCTGATACTTCATTAAACTGCACTAAATTCTGCATGAGCTATGTGTATGGATGGAGAGATGCTACCTGGTCCTAACCTAAGGCTTCATGAGGTCAATGGAACACTTTCAGCCGATTGCAATAAGCCTGGAACAGTGCCTTGCACAGGTACAAAAATGGGAGGTGTAGGGGAAGAGAGAGAGAAAAAGGTAGATACACAGAAAAAAAAGAACAAAAGGGACGAGGAGATGCCAGAGTAAAGAGACAGGAGGATAAATATAATGCACAAGATATTAGACAAGGAAGAAAACAAGAAATGGAGTGAGAGAGAAGTCACTATTTAAGGAAAAGATGTTGCTGTGCTTGGAAGATAAAATGATTCAAAGCCTCCTGTCCATTACAGATAAATGGAAAGACAGGGCCCATCATATTGAATGAATGATGTCAGGACTGATAATAACAGCACCTGGGGCACAGGGAACTATAAAATTTAAAGAGATGCATTGTGTTTGATATGTAGAGAGCAGCATCACCATTCACTGTGCATCTTAAAAGCAGACAGCAGTACTA